GCAGCTGCTGTCTGGCCTGGAGGGGCAGGTTTCCTGTGCTGCAGGGGGAATGGGGGAGAAAGTGAAAGCGTTCCCTGACACCTGGCTACTTTAGCATGGCAGATGGCAGGGGCTTGGCATCGATGCCTGGAATAGATGCGCTTGCAACGCACAAGCTAACACTGCCGCCAAGGCCCGGAGTACTTTCTTTCTGTCCTTCCAGCCCTTTTCCTCCAGGCCCAGTTACAGCGAGAGCTTCCCTGTAGCTGTAGTAACCTGCTTGTCCCCAGGGGCCAAGGGAGCGTGGGCTAAAGCTGGTGGAGCCTCATGGAGCCTGACTGCACAGCTGGGGTGCACCTGGACTGACTGCTCCGGTCCCACTGGGTTTCGCAACCATCGATCAGCAAAGGCAGGGCTCAGCCTTGAGCTCAGCATGAGAGCAGGTCATCACGCGCTGCACTGGGCCTCAGCCCAAAGCACGTGGCACAGCCTGGTCCTGCAGCAGGCTCCACAGGCTCCAGTCCCATAGCAGCATCTCTGCCAGCCTCCCTGGAAACAGCCCAGCAGTGCTCCCTGCCTGGCTGCAGGCTGTTCCTGCCTTAGGGAGTCACGGCAAGCAGGAGCATGGCCCCCCTGCACCCCCAGGCACCGCGTTGAACTCCTCCCCCTGCTCCGCACCAGAGCAGGTGCTGCCCTGGGCACCTGGCAGTGTGCCCTCCCCTCCCCCCAACCCCTGCTGTCTGAGAGCTGCAGCAGCACTGATAAATTAATTAGCACCCATGATTAATTAGTGATGAGCCGCCTCCGCTTGCCTGGCTCCCAGCCGATAAAGCAGGATTTACACCTCTCTGCTCTTTCCTTCCACAGGGGAGGCTGAGGGGAGCTTGCAGCTTGGGGAATGGACCAGCCGGCGGAGACGCGGCACACATGGGCTGACCAGGGCCGACCTGGAGCAGCTGGCCCAAGGCGAGGAGGATGTCGTGGAGGACCTTGACGTCTCTGACGAGGACTGAAGGCCTCAGGACCTCATGGACAATGGCACATGGCTGCAGAGGGCAGTCACTGGCTGGTTCCACGGCACGGCCCTCTCCCACCCATTTCCCAGGAGGCGGTAAGAGCCCCATGGGGCGGGCAGCCCTGCCATGGGGTGCAGGGGAGGGCTCCCTCACCAAGGCAGTGAAGACGCCACTTGGACTCTTCAGCCCTTTTCCCACCAGAGTTTTATGGTTTTTGAGAACGCAATAAAATTTGTGGTCAGGTCTGGGCCAGTAAAACAGCTCCGCAGAGGTAATAAAAACACCCTCATTAAAATCCAACGTTCGGAGCCAGCCAAGGCTCACTGCAGCTCCACCAGAGCGGTGAGGAACCGAACCGCAGGGCAGAGGGGGTGCTAGCCCTACTGAAGCTCCAGTCTGCGGGGCCACCCACCCCTGGGCAATGTCCAGGGGCCACCCACTGGCTCCCCAGTCCCTGGCTAAAGTGCCTCAGCTCTGCCAAGTCCTCAAGGACTAATTGCAACGTCGGTACTGGAGTTTCCCACTGCCACCCAAAGCAGACCAGCCCCATGCACCACTGCAAATGGTTGAGGGTGTTGCCTCTCACTGATGTGCAGAGTGGGAGTTCTGGGGCAGGTCCCCCCAGGAACGATGCAGGCAGGCGGCTCGGCCCTGAGAAATCTCACCCATCTTCTGGTGCAGCTCTGCTCTGTCTTAAGCGGAGAACGCCCCCCCAACCAGAGCCGGCAGGAGGGCTTCTCACGTGTTCAGTCATGGCTGGTTACGTTTGTGATGAAAAGGCTCTTCATGCCATCGGCCCTGCAGAGCCACAGCCCCAAGCACACGAGTTGGGCTCTCTCCCAGCTCCAGCGCCTCCAGCTGCCTTGTCCACCCCGCTCAAAGGGTGGACAGCGTGTGCTGCTTCCAGCTTGCTCAGTCTTTCTCCTTGTTGCTTCCCATGGGCTGAGCCCATAGCACAAGGACACGGCTGCAGAACTAGGCCACCTGAGGTTTTGGCCTTTGGTGCTTTTGCTGCTGTGAGAGCAAAGCTCACAGTCTTCTGGGAATTACTTGTGTAAGGAACTCAGCAGTGAGACAGATCACTGCTCCCTGCCTGCGCCCCTCCTCATCTCCTCTGAGTTATCAGCACCTGATAGTTGGTCACTGCTGGGCCACTTGCCCTTATTTACCTTCCCCTCGGATGGTGATATGAGGCAGAGCATGCTGTCTCCTTACGCTCCGGAGCAGAGCAGGCTCAATATGGGAATCATTGAGATAGATGGGGAAAGCGGAGCCTTGGCAGGGCATTAATCAAATGCCTTTCTAGAGCAAGGCTGCAGCCTCACGCCACTTGCTGCCCTGCTCCTCGGGGCTGGCAGTGATTGCTCTCTGCTTGGAGAGGAGATGGGAGACATACTAGGTACCTGTCTCTCCCCTTGACTTTGTCCTGATGCTGCTCACATCTTGTCTTCTCTGGTGACCACAGTAGCAGGTCCCAGTTACCTGCGTCCTATGCTGCAGTCCCAGGCAGCCAAGAGCAGGGCTTGGTGGCTTAGCACCATGAAGGCAATACAGCTTCCCCTTGGGCTGTGCTTCCCCAAAGCCAAGTGGGAGCCAGAGTGTATCACGGTTTCCGTCCCGTGCAAGGACAGCAGCCATCGCCCTCACTCCAAGCACACTCCCTGCTCCTTGGTTTGTGCAGTTTCTCCACTCCTGCTCCAGGACATCATTATTGCTCTGGCAGTAGCACTGGGGGCATTTCCAGCTAAACCTGAGCTTCTTGCTGGTGTTTTGGGAAAGGGGCTCATACCTTTTTTTTTTTTCCCTCTCTCAATTTCATTGGTAATGGTTTAAGTGACCTATGGACTCCAAATTTGTGGTCAGACAACAGGCAAGAGCTTTCTCCTTACCTCACTGTGTTTTGCCAGGGCTAGGAGCTGCCTTCAAAGGCAACAGTAGAGTTGAATAACGCCCCTTCCCACCATGGGGCTTGTAGGTGCTGGGGGGTGTCAGAGGAAGGGCTGTTCTCCGCAGCCCGAAGATGGCTCACGCTGACCAGCCAAAGATGGTGACAACACGCAGTGCCTTTCTGCAGAGCCACTGGAGCGCAGTCCATGACGTGGATGAGCTCAGAGATGCGCCATCCAGCAGCCATGGGGAGCAGCGTTTGCAAAGCTGGGGTGCGACTCCTGCAGCCACGTGGCCAGGTTTTGTTATGTTCCGATCGGACGCCACATTCTCACCACATCCTGTGACAGCAGAGTCCGTGCTGCTGTATGCCAGCAGTGTCCTGGACTGCAGGCATGGTGCTGGGGGAGCAAGTCGTTTGCAGCAGCTGCGTTGTGATAGGAGAGGGAGTTTGGCTCCCAGAGTACCCCCGAGTTGTGCATGTGAGAAAAAGGGAGCAGGGCAGTCTGTCCGTCCTGCGATCTGTTGTATTAAGTGGCAAGAAGGGAAGTGGGGGGGCAGACTCCAAACTTTTTTTCCTCTACTTTTTAAAAAGCTCAAAAGAGGAATTTCACTTTGAAGCAAAAGAAAACTGGTCCCATTTCAGTTTAGGTTCCCCTCTAGAGATGGAGCAGGACCAAATTCTTCCTGCTAAGAGAAAATGGCAGTTGTACTAACCCCTCTTGTCTGTGGCTGTCAAGTTTTACCTTCAAGGCAGTTCTGACTCGCTCTGCAAATACTTCCTGCTTCACCCCTGCCCGCACAGCCCCAGTTTGGGCCTTCCCAGCCCATCTGCCTGTGGGGGCCTTAGCAGCAAGAGCCTTTCAGCCCATTTCTCAGTGTTGCTCTTTCTGGTCATTCACCTGGATTGGGCTCTTCCTCCCAGCCATCTCGCAGTACAGGCGGGACCCAGGTCGAATGCAAGAGAAACATGTTCCCAACGCGCAGGGCTTGCAATCCTCAACCTGAGCATGTGGGAGACGTCTGCACATACCTGAGCACCGGCAGATGCCGGCCCGGGAGAAGCATGTACCCTGGGTAAATTAAGTGGTTTTTTTATTTAAATCGATTGCTGGAAAGCCGTTATCGTGACGTGATGGATAATGACAATTCTTTTTACAATATAAAGAAGCTAATGTACCACCAAGCTATTTGTTAAGGAAAAAAAAAAAAAACCCCAAACGGTAGCACGTGCAACATTTAAACAAAAAGGAGAGAGAGAGAGAGAGAGAGAGCAAGAAGTACCACATGTGATTGTTGCTCACAACTGTACACGTCACAGAAGGGCACCTCCGGGAATCACCGTCTCGTTCACAGTAGTAAAAACCCTTCCCACGTCCAGCCTGAGTTCCCTGCCCCCGCGGGCACGCGCAGGGCCCGGCCTCCTGGTGCTTAGCAGCCCAGAATGTGCAACTACGCCCGCCTCTGTAACAAGGCTTGTAGAAAAAGAGCACCCCCTTTCCCCAGACAAACAGGCAATGAGACACACGTCTGCTGTACACATCCCGGCAGTGCTGGGAGATGCGCAGGAGAACCCCCGCCCCTGCTGGGCACACGCTCTCCTATTGCAGTTTCTTTATAAAACAAAATGTTTTTTTTATATATATA